TTTAGCACGTTTTCGTAAGACTCAAGACGACTTTGCTGATTTCGTCTCCCAAGCACATTCAATACTTTTACATCACCGATTAGCTCATGGTCTATTAGCGTTAGCATATGGTACATGATTCTGAATCAGTATTGATCATTTTCAAGAACTTGTTTGAAGGCAGAGGGAATGTAGTGCTCGCGCGGCACAATGCTAGCGACTAATTACAGAAAATGCCTCGCCACCGCATTACCCTGAGGCTCTGAAAGTGTTGCTCACTGGTGCTAAAGTGTAAGTTGCAGCAGGAGCATATTTCCGCTGCGAACCAAATGCCTCCTCCCTACATGAAAATGTACAGCCTGACATAGCTCGCTGCGACCAACAACTGTAATGATTGCGATGACATGGAGAGGCATAACATTCTGAGTTCTGTGGTGTAATGGTAGCACGCCTGACTGGCAAGCAGGAGGACCGGGATCAATTCCCTGCCGTCCCCGACTTGAGTCCCGTCCAACACTTGAGTGTTGCGTTCCTTGCATCAAATTGCTCAGCAGGCTGCACGGCTCTCTTATTCCGGAGCTCAGCATTCGCTGTCTCTTGCTGTTCAGCGGTCTAGGCGGATCTACCCACATATCATTGCTGTTCATCACTGATTCTAGCCATTACGTTTAGCACCGATTTAGGCACTTCGCATCGAAATGCAGTGGCAAACGTTGTTTTCGCACCAGACCAACTGTATTTTACATAAAAATAGCCTATTTGAAGCAAAAAAGGAGGTTTCAACTTCTGAATCGTGCTAAGCATTGCACTGAATTTACCATCTTTTTCATTTTCCATTACGCATAATTGTACTTTTTTTCATTGTGTAGCCGATTTCCTTTCTCCTTTTAAAGGCAAATTATTCCAAATTAATTGCACTTCCATAAGCAAGTATATCCAATCAATTTACAGCTATTGAATATGAAATCTGAATTTTTAATGTATCTTGGTAAGATTACGCTCTATTCCCCTCAGTAAGTAGGGTGGAGCTCACTTGCGATCAAATGAAAAGTACTCACTCAAATGCGGAAAGGAATTCGGCCCGCCCGTTGGGGTGACAGCCACGACCACGACCATCACCACCGCAGCTTTTGACTTCTTTGAATTAAAGTATTAGATTATCCGGAGAAGCGAGGCTTTTGAATGGGGGCGGGTGAAGGTTAGATAATTAATCTATGGACAGAATCACTGTCCCCCTCCTCTCTGCCCACTATCACGGGCTTTTCGAGAGATGCTGGGAAATGTATTATTTTTCCCTCCGTTATAAATCCACTTAGTCTCATTCAATGCCCAAATTCGACCACGGACGAGTCTTCCCGAGCTTGAACAATTCATACTTTTTTGGAAAGGAAGTGCTCCCAGACGTCTTGGTTCTGCCTGTGTGCTATAATTAATTTGTCATCCTGCTTTTTTTTATTTACGCGAAGAGTTATTTACAGGGTTTTCTTCTTGCAATGAACTCTTTCTAGAGGGTTCATGGTTTCTTTTTCCAGTCCCCTCATATTCTAAAATGAACTTCGTGTCATTCCATGCTAAATCAAGACAGCCATTTACCTCACGCCCTCCGATTCCCTTGAAAGAAGGATGCCAAAATCCTATGTGATTTTGCCTAATCGCCCCCCACGACGAAACCGGTGCCAATCGGTAGAGCATCCAAAGTATTGCATAAGTGTCAATGGTCACACCATGATCCGATGTTGCCCTGATCCACCAGAATGCGAAGAAATCAGGCAGCATAGTTCGGTCGATTTCGACAAATAAGTTTTCAATGCCTGCAAACTCGGAACCCGTGAATCCAAGATGTCATACACATTCTTTCAGTATTGTCGAAAGTAGGTGTTCTAAGGTAATGCTCATCTCTTGAAGTGTAGTGTAATATCACCGTTACCTAACCTAACCTAACCAAGCTTGTGGCCCTCTTATGGATGAGGGCAACATCGGATCACGATGCGACCATTGACACTCATGCACTATTGAGGTCCTCTGTCGATCGCCACCGGTTTCATCGTGGGGCGCGATTATGCCGAAAATGAACATCCTCCTTTACTAAACTTGTAGTAGCTACTGAAAATCATCCCATGCCTAATTGCATTTTTTTACCTCAAGTGCTTCCAGCGATATGGCAATTTCAAAGTGACTAAAAGTGATCAATTTCGGGTCAAGTCGACATTGCCTCAGTGAGCATAACGTTTGTTCTAATCAACATTGACAACTGAAATTGGTATCACTTTAAAGGTCTTTCCACTTCCTTTCAAATGATGTCATTTAAGAACCATCAATAAGATGGTGATCCTGACCTTTGACCTTTAATTACAGAAAAGGTCATTTCCATTTCCTTCGAAAAATTATCATGCTATTACCAAATCTTTCTGCATCAGTGCTTAAAACGTAAACTTGGGACTGTCGTGGGATCAAGATATACGGACAGTACTGCAGCAAGTGACCATAATTCTTAAGAGAATGTAATTGATATATCAGGATACATTCAGTTTCAGCAAAATTTAAATAGAATAGAGTTGCATGAAATATCAGTATTATTTTTGTAATAAAAAGAGTGGAACGTTCTGGAAAGTTTTAGAACAGTGGTGAGCAACCCGTGGCCCACTATTCCCTGGTGTGTGGCCCGCGGGGCTTTACCAACTTACTTTTTTTTTCTTCTCTGTCTTCTGCCATCTGGAGTAGAGCGCACGTGCGCTCTAGGATTCCAATACCCACTGCAGGAGAAATGGAAGCAATAAGTAAAATATCAATTTCCATCTATTATTTTAGTACATGGTTTACTAAGCCAGGCATAGGATTATTTTGGCATTCAGCCTGTAATTCAGTAATAATACAAATTAAGAAATACATCTGAATACTCCCTCAGCTCAATAATATCATCTCATTTATACGTGTGCCAAGTTTCATCTTTCCATTTCTGTCCAATTCACCAGGACAATTTTTTTTCAAAGCATCGCCCCTCGAAAAAATTCCCCCATGGGATGTATCGAGACTTAACCTTTTTATTTAGCTTTCACTCTGATTGCCTTGATTGCCTGTAATCTTGCAATGCAATCACAATCACTGCATCTGATTGCCTTGATGATCAATCAAAACTTTATTGCACCATAGCATGGCATTTTTGTCAATTTGGTAAATACAGAATATATCACAGAAGCTTTTCCTCTATTCTCGTTGCCCATTTGGTCAGAGACATTGTGTTTTTATTACAGGAGAGTAGATGATATGTGTTGGCTGACTCCCCACAAAGCAAACATACACATCCTTCTTTTGCTTTGTGGAAGGCTTTGGTTTTGCAGATCTTAAAGTGAAATCCATGGAGGGCGTGTCGAGTCAATACATGTCGAATCTTGTCGTTTGGTCCAGTCCACTGGTCTCCTGTTAGGGCCGGTGTTTTCCAAAAATCTTCTTCAATGTCCCTTCTCTTCCCTTCAATCTCTCTTCTGTATTGCTTGGTTTGCATGTTCTCTGAGAGATTCATTTCACGTAGCAGATCCTCAACTAGAGTTTCCTGGTGGCACATGGCCAGCACCAGTGTATTGGATGCACTTGTGGGCAGGGATAGCATTCGCTTCAGGAAGGTGGTTTTTGCCCTATCTAAGGTGTGCAGGTTTGCTGCTTTTAGGTGGGGTCAAATAGGTTCTATGGCATACGTAAGGATTGGTCGAATTTTGATGTTGAAAAGTTTGACTCCTGCCTGAACAGACAGCTTGCGTGGATTGGGCAGGGAGAATGTTGCTCGTGTAGCTCTTACAACCACGTTCTTAATATGTTCTGTGAAGCAGCAAGTTGTCTGGAATGTGACCCCTAGGTATGTGTATATGTAATATGTTAGTCATATTTAGGGGATGACTATCAAATTCAAAGACATCTGTGTTGGCCCAGCGACCCCCCCTCCTAAACTTCATGATTTTTGTCTTCTCTGAGTTGACCACGAGTCCATTTTCTTCTGACCAAGTTTGTAAGGCCTCCAGACCTTTTGCTATTGCTTCCCGGGAAGGGGCAGTGAACAGTAGGTCATCTGCGAATAGCTTCACCTTCAGGGAGGGGTGGGCCGTTTTGATGGCAGAAGAAAGATCCCAAGTGAAGCAGGCAAAGAGGTATGGACTCAGGGAATCCCCTTGAAGTACTCCCAATTTCTGTGCGATTGGCTTTGTTCTTCATAGTCCATCGTCGACTCTGATGTAGTTATCTGACAGGATGTTCTTGAGGAGTCCAAGAAGTTGTCCCCTTAGTCCTAGTCTCATAATCTTGTTGATAAGTCTCTCCCGTGGGACAGTCAAATGCCTTTTTGAAATCCACAAAGGCTGCGTAAATGAAGACGCGCTTCTGTTGTAACTGTTCCTGAATGTCCTTGATGAGATCTTGGATGGGTTGGATGGTGGATCTGCCTGGCATAAATCCATGCTGTTCCTCGGGGATGTAGTGGTCCAAGTAATTCCATAGCCGACTCTCCACCATTTTGGTCAGTATTTTGAAGGGGCAGGAGAGCAGCGCAATTCCTCAGTAGTTGTTTGGTTGATTTATTTCACCTTTTCCCTTGTAGAGGACTTTAGTCGTGCTGTTTTTCCAGTCTGCAACGATTCTCCCTTCCTTCAAGCATTGGTTGTAGATGTTCGTCCAGAGGTGGGCAGTGACATCAAGGCTACCCTTTAGGTGTTCATATGAAGGTAGGTCAGGGCCTGTTGCTTTCTTGTTCGGCCGGGTGAGGATTATTTTGATCACTTCACTCTCTGTAAAGGGGCGGTTGTAATCTCCTTCTCCACCCATGCGTAGGAAGTCACTTGGGACTCAAGTTCAGATAGTACGTCAGGTAGGCTTAAGAGTGCTGAGAAGTGCTTTTCCCAGGTGATCAAGGGGATGGGGCAGCTTTGGTTCACTCAGGTGGGTCTCCATTTCCATGGGGTGTCCTCAGCTTCTTGTAGGAGTTTCCTTTCCACTTCCTGGTTGAAGTTGTATTTTTTCCTCCGGATGACTTGTTTCTATCTTCTATGTGATTCCGCGTATTCTGGACAGTTTCCTTGATCCCAGATGACTTCTTGATGTCTCATCAATACCTCGTGCTTAAGCATATAGCACTCCTGGTCAAACCATTCCTTTGCGATCCTTCCCTTTTTGGTTATCCTAGGGGCTGCATTAAGGGTGGCCTGTCTCAAGAGTTCATAGGCCATGTCCAGTTTGCCTTCTTTTAGGAGCTCTTCAGCCATTGTCAGTTGAGGGTCTTCTGTCAAAATATTAATGTCAATCTTCCATTTAAGCTTAATCTCTGTAATAGGAGGATGCCTTCTTTCCTGCTGTGGGATCTTCCACCTGACTTGGATAGGGACATGTTTCCTTAGTGGGATTGAGGCTGAGTTGTTCACAGTGAGGTACTGGAATTGTCTAATCCTACCACTGGGAATGCTTGTAAACACCAGGTCAATAACACTTGCCCCATTATGGCATATATAAGTTGGGCGGTGTGGGCCATTGAGTAGGTATAGTCCTGCCGTACTAGTGGCTTCGTTTAGAGCAAGAAGCTTTTCGGACTTACTGGAGTCAACTCTGGTATTGAAGTCCCCCATCAGGATTATTGGTTGGTCATTTGTGGCTTCTTGAAGTGCTGTTTCAATCACTGCCGCAACTTCATCTGGAGATGCTTCAGGTGAGGCGTAGCAGCAAGCAAGGGTGGCATGTGGTGTTCTTATGATGACTGAGGTCTCACTGTGATGGACTAGTTCGGGTTCTAAGAAAGGCTTGCAGGCTATACAAATGCCGCCCGACGCCTTACCTCTACTTGCAGTTGGCCTGGCAAGGGAGTGAAATGAGTAGTAGCTGTCAATGTCCATGGGTTTAGTAAGGAATGTCTCTGTGAGGAGGAGGATGTCATGCATTCCAAAGATGTTGTCTGGGCTGAGTTTAATAAGGGACCGCAGTCCCTCCACATTCCACAGGATGGTGTTGAAGAAAACATGTCTTCTTTTATTGACATCTCTTCTGTCACCTCTTGTTTTTTCGTCTCCTCTTCTTCTTGTTTTGACGCGTGGCCCAGTGATGTGGAGAATTAAGTTGCTCACTAGGCCTAGGCCTAGTGAGCAACTGCGTTGGCCTGCGTTGCACATCACAGAGAGCATTTGAAGGACAGTATATTAAAAACCTAAGCTGTAGCATGTTGCACTTGAATTGTAAGCCCTTGAATAGTATTTGTATGACGCCACACTGTTTTTGGAGCATAAAACAAAAATAATGAAGCACTTATATTGCTATAATATTTGTCACCCTATATATACAGGGTGGCCCAAAAAATTCCAGAACTTTATGAATCGGCAAACTGGACAACATATTGAGTACTGTCTTGAAATTTCAGTGTTTCATATTTAATACATATAGGTGGTTTTAGGAAATTTTCAATGTAATTCACTGCACCAAACAAGAAAATGAAATCTTTCCAAACAAGTCATCAAATGAGCTAGTGTGTCAGTGCATTTGGTCTAAGTGCTGCCTCATTGGGCCATTGTAGAGGCTGTCATGAGTGTTGCCAGGGCAATGTTATGTTGAACTGCTAGAACAGTATACTCCAAAGATAATTAAGAGATATATTTTAGGCCTTATATCAAAATAAATCTTTAATTAAGGTTAGTCATGTTATTTTGCACACTAGCAATTTTGACAGCACAGGGAAGAGAAACTGCTACTCAGGTAGTTAACTACCAATCTAATTGAAATTTTTGTGACATTACCTGCAAATATTGGATGAGAAACCCTGAAAATTTTCCAATAAAAAAACTCATATGGTATTACAGCTGCAGGCAATTAAAGTATGGCACCTCCTTCTTGACCACCCAGTATTTATGGCAGGAAACATATTGCCTTAGTTTCCCAAGCCACAGTAACAAGAACAACAGTCAAAGAATAGCCCTCCATTCAAGAATCATAATATTGAATTGCTGTTGATGCCAAGTGGAAGAAAGTGCATAAATTTTCTGCATAATCTTTTTCTTTCACCATATTAACATCAAAATTGGTGATTTACCTTGTAGGGGAGGAGGAGGGTGTAAAGAGTATGGAAGTTATGAGAATCATAGAGTTCATCTGCTTGGAGCTTGACCTGCTGCCAGTCAGATTCCTCCTGTGGTTTCTTCCCTGCAGAGGATGAGATCATTCCTGCAGCTGCAGATGACAAGGATGCTCCAAACCATCTCCAACCTTTTGTCTTCTCTCTGCATAAAATTTTTTTTATTTCTCCCAATCTCCAAGATAAAGATCACTTTCAAAGCCAAATGAAGTTCTCAAATATTCAAGTTTCATATTCTGATGCAATATAAGATACCAGGCACAGGAGACTATTACACAGAGACAGCTCATCACTATGCCCTGACTAGAACACCAGCTAACCCACCATCCCATCTAAACCAATATACGGTTTTGCATTTACAGCTAAGCATCTTCAAATGTCCCATACCCTAAGACAGAAGTACCAAGTGCTATGGATCTTCCTTCCCATGCACACCAGGGCCTGCACTTAGAAATGAATTGGGTTTATTGGGTTCGAATCTGGGTCCCCTGCCACAGAAGCCTAGCTCATTATCATCTGAGCTACTCACCTGCCCCAAAATATTGTGTCACATTTATGTTTAGGACATCTTTAAAATTCTTCTGGCTTTCCTCCAACTTCACAATGCCATCCATAATGGTCATCCATTGATTTACCACAATAGCAGGAAAACAATACCTTTGATCTTTCATTCTTTCCATCCATACAACAATTACAATAAATGAAGGTGGGGGGAACAAAGAGTCATTGCTTCAGCAACTAATACATCCTGTATATGTTGACCTAAATGTTACCTTTTCGAAAGCTACCAGCACCAACGTGATGCAACAAATGGGAAACATTAAGATAACCAGAGCTTTGTGAAATAAAACAATGGCAGTAAAAAAAGGAGATCCTTGCCTAATAGAAAACATGACCCAGAGAGGCCTCCTCATGGGACGTGCTTTCAGGAACCACCAAATTGGCCATATACTCTGGGACCACAAATCCCTTCTCCAATATCTTGACATCTTCTCCAGCTGGAGAATGTGCCCAGAGAAAGGAGCTAGTGGAAAGAAACAAACCACTCACCATAAATAACAGACACTGGCATTGTATGCAACACTTCTGAAAGTCTTCGTGCAATGAATGGGCAAGCGCCAAGCTGCACGGTGGCAACTTGAAAGCATTCCATCTCACAATGGTAGAAAATATAGCAGATAACTCCTTTAATTCAAACATTCTCTATTTCTTCATAGTGAGCAGGACAATTCCACAGAATCACAATGCAGTATCATAAGTTTTGAGTGTTTTCTCAAAGAAGAATGGTGAAGTAAAGAAATATGAAGAAATAAATCATATTAAATATCAAGCACTTGAATCACAGAAGGTTTTGAGACTGAGATCTGTGCATCCATACAGCTTCATAGCATCCTGACATGGTTTTACAAAGGCCTTCATATCTTCTTGCACCTGGAAGGGAATTCCAAAATGAGAATGTCTTTTTAAAAAATGTCTCTGGAGTTGATACAAAAGTGGTGAAATAAATTTCTTGGCACCCAACTGATTAGTCAATGGAAGACACTTCTCGTTAACCAATGATCCAACAATGAGAAATTTAAAGACATTTCAATAGAGGTGTGATTTGAAGTTTTACCCAAATGTCTATATGCATGGCTGAAAGAAATTAGTTTAGAATTGACAGGGGATAAGAATAATCTCTCTTTCAGCATCAAACCACCTTATGCATTTACTGGAGGGACACCTCAGTCTGACCTGACCTTCAATAAAGAGGCACTCTCAATAGGGTGTTCCCAATCCTGTTATGAACACTCTTTCTGGAACTGGGTTTGCAACTTGGTTTGTTCTGGGTTTGGAAACCAGTGAAACTGCTTGGAGTGCGGTGTCAGTGTTATGATATTCCCTTATGGTTGCCTTCATGAAAGGAACAAGTTTGATATTTTGATCTATTAAAAACAGCCCATGCAGAATCTTACTTCCAATCAAGAGGTAGGATTGTTCTAATTAACCAGGACTTGTAATTTCTATAGGAACGCAAAGTTGGAAACCACTACCAGCCAGATTGTGCTCAAGGAACATTTCACTTGGTACCTAATGGCAATGGTCACAAGCACAACCATATGTTTCCAGCCAAAGAAATTCAATTGAATGCTTTTCAAATAGAACTACAGATGATCTCACTTATGCAGAAGTTGCTGTTGCACTTGTAAGAGTGCTGAGACTTGTGCTTGGGGGATACCTATCTCCAGAAAGTCTTCTCTTGTCAGAACAAGGAAGGCATACTCATCAACCTGGGGTGGAGAAAGAAAAAGTAAGATCATGGTAAGAGAGAGACAACAAGAAGCACTGCAAAAATTCTCAACAAAGACAAGGTCATGGTTTCACCTCATGTTCCTTCAGCAATCTTTCTGCATCTTGGAGACCATACTTCTTCAACAGTGCCATCCAAGAGACTTCTTTGGAACAACTGAAATCGAAATTCTAGTTCTTTTTACTGGAATCTACAAAAAGCAGAGAATACAGTCGCAGTGTTCTCACTTTTGAGCATTAACAACCATCTCTGGTAAGGATGCTCTTCTGTCCCCCTTCCCTGCTGCCAAGCATAGAATAGCAAAAAAGAACACATATATGTATGAAAATTCAATAACATGAATACACTTAGAAAAGGAAGAACTTATCGCCAACCTGCACTGTCTTCTGAAAGGGAGCATTTGGATAAACCTAAGTTTTCATGTGAAATTGACAAGACTCCATTCTGTCGCTTCTGTTTCACATCTGATTCCTTTCTTTCCCGGTTTTGTGACTTCCTGCAAATGTTATGAATGATCAACATCATGTCTAAGCTAAATATCACACCTGATTAGATATTTCTATTTGTTTGCTTTGAGATTATCACATTAAAAAATATCCATGAATAAAATATAAAAAAGTTGTTTACCTATATTGTCAAATAGGGCAAACAAGTCTCACATACCAAATTTAAAGAAAATCTCTGCAAAAATTGAAATGTCTTCAGTCATCCACAAGATTCAATTCATTCATAGGCCCATAGACTTCAACTTGATGCCATCAGGTATAACTCAAAATAGACTCTGGTCCTGTGTCTGGCCAAAACCAATACTCATGCCAAATATCACTGTGTTACCCCCATGAGAAGAAATGGCATTGCATGGCATGGGAGAAAATCTTGAACAAATCATACATGTAAAGAGAGTTTTTAAAAACAGAGTCTCAGTTTTTCCTTAAGTGCCAGAAATTGGGAATGGCTGGAGAGTGGCCAGATGCAAAAATTGACAGCAACCACAAACAGCTCTATCATTGTCCTCTCCTATAATATCTGGCTTTCCTACATTGTTTTTTACCATTCAATAGATGTCTCAAAGCATGCTGTAGAAGCATCAACAAAAAGCAATAAACATGAACATTACCAAGGCATGATAAACAGCTTCCTCCAGAAGCTTGTGGATTCCAAGTTCTCCTTGTTGAGAGCAATAGCTGAAGCTGAAGGAGAGGAAGTGAGTTTGAGAGAGGAAGTTGTAGATGCAGCAACCCTCTGACAGAGCAGTTGAAAAAGTTCTTGATCATTTAAGCCAATGTCAACAAGAAGAGCCACATCGAATGCTGTCATTCCATCTTTTGTCTTGTATGCCACATCTGCTCCTGCTTCTATCAAGTATTTTGCAACCTCCCACTTCCTACAACAAGGAAGCATCATTCAATGATTATCAAGGTCTCTTAGAATTGCCTTCAATTTAAGGATAGTGAATCACCGATGAAACAAAGCCTGCATGAGAGGAGTCCACCCAAACTGGGGTTCAGGGTCATCCAGTGAGGCACCTTTGGAAATCAGCAATGCCACTGCCTCCAAATTCCCATTCATTGAGGCGTGTAAGAGAGGACTATCCTCATGCTTCATCCCAGAACCTCCTAGGAATTCCCAAGACTTTCCCTTGGTTACTGTTTCCACCATGCTGTCCCCTGAACTCTCACTCCCAGTCTCACCTAAACAAGATTATACACATGATAAAACCAAGACAAGCAGTGAAATGGAGACATAACTTGAAAACTCTGCCACAAACACTGACATCTTTTGGGTCTTCTTGACGTTAGAGGATGCAGTTTTTTAATGATTGGTGGAGATGATAGAAAAGGTGAGCCTGCAGCAAGAGAAAGAGCTGTATCTCCTCGACTGGACAGGACATTTGTGTCAGCACCCCATTCCAGCAGAAGATCAACTACTGCTTCATGTCCAAGAAGAGCAGCAACCATCAATGGTGTCACACCTGTAAGTTGATTCAGCAATGGATGATGAAAAGTTATATGCCTTCATACAAAAAACTAGCTGTGGCCCATGCAGCATCCACAGTTCCACAGGTACCTAATTGAGACCAAATGAATTTCATCCCATAGCTTTCAAATGAGAAATAACATTGACATTTCCAACAGCAATATTTCACATAAGCAACTGGGGACATATCCCACCAGAAGACACCTCCTTATCCTTAAAGTTTTAGAGCCAGCAAGTGAACAATTTTTAGGCATAAAAACACATAATGTGAACCACTGACTGGGCCCTTCTGCTTAAGGTTATATTCCCATGACTGGAGCTTGGCCTCATACCTGATCGAGGGCAAGGAAGATTGGGATCCGCTCCATGCATAAGAAGAAACCTGACAACATGAGCATGACCTCCAAATGCTGCAAAGATGAGTGGGGCAGGAGAGCCAGAATTGATGTCCTTTACATTAGGCCCAAGGAATCGAAGCAAGGCTGGACTCAATTTCCCAATGGCAGCTGCATACCCTGCTGCTGACACCCCTGATGGAGAAAAAAAGAGAATCATCCTATGACTATCCCAATGGTACATCCATAAGCTCAGACTTTTCAAATTCATCACTCATTATGAGTGACAGTTGGCAAATAAACCTTTGGGATCTCTGTATCATACAGACTATTTATCATTGATTCACCAACTTCCAACTGACATGGAGTTTACTTTTAATGTCTTATGTGTCATTGAGCTAATATCATGGATGCTGCCATGTGATGACCAAAATGTGAGTGCTCAGGAATCTGGATCTTCTGGATAGAAATTTTCTGAAAGATAACAGTTGAAACTATAGTTCTCACATTAGCAATATGATAATTATTGTCATTTTATTATGCAGACTATCAAAAGAAAACAACTTAATACCTGCAGGGGAAGACATTGAAGAATTTACCTTCTCCAGTCAACTGTTCCAGGACAAAAGGTTCAGGTCATTGCTATCCTTTTCAGAGGACTTCCCCTTAAACAATGTTCACTAATGGCCTGCCATCAGGTCATTTCATACTCCAATATGATGCTGTGCTATCAATTGAGGAGTTCTCTGGAAAAGGGGCCCATATGTGCCCATACACCCTTTATCCATATCCGTGTCCATGTGCAGCTTTCATGTCATCAGATAGAGTGGTCAGCAAGTAGTTAAGATGAGTATTCAACAAAGGAGAAGCAGATTTTCCTATGCTCTCACTATACACTGTTTTCGGATTGAATTGGTACCCCCCTACTGTGGAGAACGGAGAAAACCCAAGCTTTCCAGACGATCCTCAAGATGTCAAGCCTGATGCTCCACATGGTTGTTGGATGGTTCTATTAATACTTCACCTTCCTCCCACAAGGTGTCCTGCCTGTACTCGATGGAAGCGCTCCTAGGGGGGGGTACCAATTCAATCCGAAAACAGTGTATAGCAGACCAACTGCCTGGCAATTTCAATATGGCTGCCTCCATGAATATTCCATTAGCACTTGCATGATGAATGATTTTGGTGGAATTATTTCATCCTTTTAAACTGAAAATGAAAATGAGGGAGAAAACAGACATGAGGATGGGGAAAGAAAGAGGCCCAGTCATTCGAGCCTTTGGAAGGATATGAGAAGTTAGAGATTTCCATGAAATAGTTGCAGATTCAGATAATGAATTCATTAATACTGAATCACTGCTGAGCAACTGGCAAATGAAACGTGTCCTGAATATTCACATTTTTCTTGCTATTCTTTAAGAAAGAGTTTATATAAAATCTATCGATGCATTTATTGATTGAATATTATTTTTAGTGGGAAAGAAGTGGTGAAAGACTCTTTGGAAAAAGTTTCAGCAGTGCAAATATGGAAAAAGGGCCTATGTGCATAAACCCTTTCTGCCTGCATCCAAGCAATGTGAGATAAAGAAATTAATTAAGTTCATTTTGAAAAATGCATGAGATTCCATTTTACTGATAATTAAGTTTTGACCAGCTTCAGATTAGTTATGGGAAGTTTTTATCGTTTATCTCGAATTGCATCCTTTGCACATACGCCCTTTTTCTAGAGAACTCCTCAATTGCTAAATGCAATGGAACAATTTTTCCAGGTTTGATAATGAATTTTTATGGCAGTTACCAGGTAAGAAATCAATCTTTTTCAGCCCTCCTGGTGAGAAGCTGAAAAACTTGGAAGTCCGAAGATAAACTTGATGATGCCATATGAAATGAGATTTGACTAAATAGCTATCAAAACAGGTTGGTCCATTGTGCTCCAAGGGGGGTAGCACTATGATTTGAATAATAAGTTTTAAAAAATAAGTCATATAGACTCAAATTGCAATCAAGTTTTATGTGAGATATTGAGGAACATACCTACGTCCTCAAGTTTATGGGAATTTCTGGCAAAACTAAATTCTTGGGGCTAAAAAATCTCAAAAAATGGTCCACTGTGCACCACCCTTTCCTAGATCATGCCTTCGTTTCATTAAACACACTAGTGCTACTTGCGGGGGCTGGTTCCAAATAACTTTTCAATGGGATGTCGTATGACCAGTACATTTACAGGCCAGCTATGGCCCAGCGCTAGGCCTATTGCGGGAGGCTCCTCACCGAAAGCATTGCAGAGGCCAGGCGAAGTTCCGTTCCCGAATTGGTGTATCAACACGTCGGGATCCTGTTCGGCGATGGCATGGAAAACGGCAAGGACTCCATCAGGTGCTTCTTCCATGCTTTGGCCTAGCCCTGTGCTAGCAACATCTCGATCCTCGTGCGATTACTGTCATCAACCCGAGAGAAGAGGGTAACATTAGACCGGAGACAGGCAAAATCGCACGTGCACCGCACCCCACTCTACTGTGCAACGCCATGTCCTATCTTCTTGTTAGATGCTCCGTGCAGATACGATGAATAAACATTTCTCCCGATGAACTTGAGCATGGGAAATATAAGTGATGAAAAATAAAGATAAGCAAAATGAAGGATAATCTTTTGAAGCTTGGCAGCCTGTGGCATGGATCGCCCGGGATTTCGATCAAGTACAATTCAGTGCTTATATGTATGAGTATTGCTCCTCCGACGGCACCAATACTACTTTGCGTACGCAAGCACGCGAAAGGAAAGAAGGTATCCCTCTACTTACTGGGACCATCTTCACCCAATAAACGCCAAGTAACGCCTGGAATCAGAAGCGTACAGAGGTTCTGAAATGAGCCTTTTTTAGGGTTGTAGATGGGGGGGCAGGGGATCACAAGCAAGGGACAGC